TTTCCCAAGGGGTGTGTGTGTGTGTGTGTGTGTGTGTGTGTGTGTGTGTGTGTGTGTGTGTTTTAGAGGAAAATATTTAACAATTAACCAACCTCCACATACTTAACATAGCTTCAAGTCACCAAGACCCAAGCTCCTCCCACCCCCACCCCCAAAATTTTCTCTTCAGGTTTTGTGGGGAAGAATTTGGCCTTCACAATGACAGGTTACTTTGGGAGTTTTCCCTTCCCTAAAACTTCATAGCAGTCCATTCGAACCACATCAATGATGGAAGCAGCTCCAGTCTTGTTTTTGGCAGCTTTGACCCTCGCCTGCTCACTGACCAAGGACCATGATTTCTATAGGTTGACAGACATTGAGCAGAAGCTTTGATTCCTCTTCAAGTGGTAATGTCTCATACCAACTTTTCCAAAATAGCCTGGATGACATTTGTCAAACTCGATCCTGTGGTGATGCAAGCCACCAACATTACCTCCACCTCCAGGGTACTTCTGGTGCTTCCCAATGCGGCCGTGGCCATGGCTCACATGATCCCTAAATTTCTGGATTGTCCTTAATCTTGATGGTATGTCAGAGGCCTACACACACACACACATACACACACACACACACACACAGTAGCTTCTCTAAGTTGTGTTTTTCTAGAAAATTTTCCATTACACTTAAGTTCCCAGCAAGTTCCTCTGATCATATTATCTGTTGTCTCTATGGCCTGTAGTAATGCCATGCACCTGCACTCTAATTTTTTATTATCTTATTCTCTCTGATTTCCGAAGCAGTTCTGGCTTGGAAATGAGTTTCTTGAACATCCAGCTATTATGACTACTTCTCTATTGCTCCTCTTTTCTCACTAGGGGTTTAACTGGATTTTATTCATACAAACTGTGCTAGCCTCTGTCACAATCCGGCTGCTGCCACAAGAGGAAATAGTGGTTTATGGAATCCCCTACCTCAAGAATCTCGAGGCCATCATAGACGCCTACCCAGCCAGGTAAGACCTAGAGAAGACCCAGGAAGCCTCAGCATCCTTGCTTCTGGCTCTCCCCTGCCCTCCAATATCTCCTGAAGGCCCCTTGAGGCATTCACCCTGAGACAGGCGCACCACAAGGGGTTTGACGTTTACATGGAACTTTCGTTAGATACAAGACCATTCCCTGAGTTCTCTCAAACAAGATGCAGAAGATGGTCTACGGAGGGTTGTCTCTGAGATCTCCAGCTCCCTAAACATCCTTCTTTGGAGTATTCTGCTCGCCAAAAGCCCCGAAGTCTTATTACTGGCCTAGGCAAATGCTCCTTCCCTCTTCTCTCCCTTGCCCTCTGCCTTCTGTCCCCAGGACCATCCAGAACTACTTGATGTGGCGGCTGGTGCAAGACCGCATCAGCAGCCTGAGTCAGCGATTCAAGGACACTCGGATGGACTACCGCAGGGTAAGCCAGACCCACAGAAGAGACGAGCAGCCCTGTCCCGGAGCCTGGCCCATCATTCACGCATTTCATTTGTGATACGGAGCATCTGCTGTAGCCCACACACTGAGGTTGACATGGGGATAAAACCATGAGCAAAAGCACATCCATCCTTTTGGGCACAGACAGTGAACAATCACCAAACTACTGCTTTAGTCTATCACAACCTTAAAAAAAAAATGTGAGGGAAGAGGTGAGAGCAGAGAGGAGCCCTTTGCAGCAGGGACTCTGGAGGCCCTGAAGGCAGAAAGGACATGGAGAGATCTGGGGTAGAGTTCCAGGAAATAAAAAACAGCCCTGTTGCAGGATCAGGAGGAGTCCAGGAGGCTGGATGACCCACCTTAGTGAATCAGCCCAGAATGATGGGAAAGGTAGGGGTGAAGTTAGAGAAGAAAGCAGAGGCTAGTAATGTGAGGCTAGGCCCAGGAAATAGAGTTCCAAAGAGCCAAAGTCACTGGGAGGGTGAGAATCAGGAGCATACCATGTCATCGCCGGCTTAGGGGTCACTGTAACTGATTAAGAGAGAGTGAGTTTGCTGGGAGGGTCAGAAGGAAAAGAGCAGGAAGACCTGCTGGAGATCAACGAGGACATCTTCGTGCTGGGGGCTTGGGTGAGGGTGTTGCCAGTAGATGGATTTTGGAGACAAGTTGGAGACAGGAAACGAATAGATTACATGTGGAAGACAGGGAAAAGGAGGATCGGGAAGGACTCTAAGGTTCTCTTCTGGGATGGGTGATTCAGGAACCCCACTTTGGGCGCTTGGATTGAATAGGCTAGTAGGTATTGAGTCAGGAGCTCTGAGAAGAGATAGGGGACAGGCTCGCGTCCTGGTGTCAATCATCCCCACAGGGCAAGGAAGTAAGGAAGACATTGGACAGGGTTCTCAGGACTCACTTGAGATATGGGGCCCAGGCTCAAACATAACCCTCATTTCCACCCTGAGCCGTATGGCCAGCACAGCTGGTCTACCCATGTCCGTCTCAGAGGTAGAGACAGTGAGACTCAGAATGTTGGCAGCTTGTAACCAAGCTAAATGTGGCCTTGGGACTTGGCTCTGTGCTTTGGGGATGAGGTTGAGTCCACATCAGACAGCCAAACAGTGGTGCAGTTACAGGATGAGGGGTGCTCAGGGCTGAGGCAGGCCCCCAACAGCCCCAGGATAAATCCCCAACTCTGGCCTGACTCCCATGGATCTTTAAGGTCATCTGTGTTCCCCTTTGGCCCTGAGCACCCAAAGGCTGAGGTCCAGATGTGTCTTCTCACCTCATAACCTCAGGGCCCTTCTCGACACCTGTGGAGATAGTAGATGTCAGCAAATATGGGAGAATCAATGGATGAACAAACAAAAGGATCATGTGCACTGTCTCGCCCCATCCAGACGCTGTACGGCACGACGGTTGAGGAGACACGTTGGCGGGAGTGCGTCAGTTACGTCAACAGCAACATGGAGAATGCCGTAGGCTCTCTCTATGTCAGGAATGCCTTCCCCAAAGACAGCAAGGAGATGGTGGGTGGTCCTGCCATCTAGCGTGGTCCTAAGCCCCTACCCACAGCCTTCCCAAAGTCTCTCATGCTGGTACAGTTCCCCACAGTGCTGCCCTAGGAGAGATGGGTATAGACAGCATAACTCCTCCTATAGCCTGTCTCCCTGTTCCTAATGCGGGGACCCTGTAGGCTTTGGGACAGCAAGGTTATGTGGTCTTAGTGGTCCCCTGAAACAGGGTCAACAGAAGGAGAGAAACTAGAGACCTTTCATGACCTCTACTGACGTCATGAACCCCCAGGGCTGGGCCTTCTGGTCCATTAAGCAGCGTATTAGGGTACGAACAGCTGGGGCAGAGCACCAAGGAGCCACTGGCCTCACCACCACCCAGACACACACACACACACACACACACACACACACACACACACACACACGCACACACATCACCCATGCGCAGCGGCCCATTGCTGTCCAGGCCAGGCTGCCCCATCAGTCAGAGCCCAGATACACCCCTGCCAAGAGCCCCAAGTGCTGGTCATTATCTCCCCAGCATGTCCAGAGCACAATGCCACTTGTCCCCCTAGGTGAGAAATCTCATTGAAAAGCTGCAGGCAGTGTTTGTGGACAATCTGGATGAGCTGAGCTGGATGGACAGTGAGTCCAAGAACAAAGCCCAGGAGAAGGTAAGGACAGACCAGAGTCCTGGCACCCCTCCTCCTGAGGTGCAGAGCAGATTTCCTCATACTCACCCACTTTTGAGATGAGAAAACTGAGATTGGGGTAGGGCAGAAGCAGAACAGAAACAGAGCCTTGCCAGTGCATAACAATGGGTGATGTAGCCTCGTTCTTGGGAACCCGGGTCCCTCAGGACCACTTCTGGCCAGTGTGACAACTGGCAGCCTCATGCGACCTCCCATCTCCTTGTCCCCTTCTTAGTCTCTTGACTAGCAGGAGCATTCTAAGAGTCAGAGCCAAGTTGGACCTTCTCATGCTGTGTCTGGGTCAACTTTTGTATGTCCTTCAAGGACAAGCCAGGCCCCTTTCCTAAAGCAGCATGGCAAAGGACAGTGCTGGGACACCCAGCTCAGCCACAGTCAGGCAGACCCCATGCTCCTGCTCGTGGGTACTGACAGTCTCTCCCCACCCAGGCCATGAACATGCGAGAGCAGATTGGTTATCCCGACTACATCCTGGAGGAGTCGAACCAGCAGCTGGACATGGAGTACTCCAATGTGCGCCCCTGGCCGCCCACACAGCCTGACCTCCACCACGGGGCTCTCAGATATGGGGGGATAGAGATGGTACTTGCCAATGCCAGGCATCCACCTTGCTTCCCAGCCACTGATACAACCCAGGTCACCAAGCCTTGGGTGCTCCATAGTTACAGTCCAGCCTTGGATGAGGAGGCAGAGACCTAGAAACACTGGAGAGCTGGTCTATCACCCAAAGCTGAGAGTCACTGAGAGCCAGAGGCCCTGCAGCCCCTCCCCACCCACCCGTGTCCCACGCTTACCCCCACACTGACCTCCAGGAGTGACAGCCTCTCTCCCACAGCTGGACTTCTCTGAGGATCTGTACTTTGAGAACACCTTGCAGAACCTCAAGGCCAGTGCCCAGAGGAGCATCAAGAAGCTTCGGGAGAAGGTGGACCCAAATCTGTGAGTGGAGGGCCTGAAGTCACAGACACAACGAAGTAGGGGGTCAGGCCAGCCTGTGGGGTATAGGAGTGACTGTGGGCAGGGGTGCCAGTATGGGGATACCAGGGCCACAGAAGCCAGGCCACACTGAGGGAGGGTTCTCTGACCAAACAAATGGGGTCCAGATCAGCTGGGAGCATGGGGGTGGTATACTGGCAAGTGGGGGCCACGTCAGCCTGGAGCGTGGGGGTAGTGTGCTGGCTAGTGGCGGCCAGGTCAGCCTGGAGCATGAGGGTGATGAACAGACAAGTGGGGGCCAGATCAGCCTGGAGCATGAGGGTGATGTATAGACAAGTGGGGACAAAGTCAGCCTGGAGCATGGGGGTGGTATACTGGCAAGTGGGGCCCAGGCCAACCTTGAGCATGGGGGTGGTGTACTGGCAAGTGGGGGCAAGGTCAGCCTAGAGCATGAGGAAGGTGTGCTGGGGTCCCATGAGTCACCTTGGAGATCACGGTGATGGCTGAAGACCCTGAAGACCCTGCACAAGTGCTGGGACTTGGGCGCCTCAGGTGGCCTTCAGCCAGCTCGTAGCAGGGAGGGTCCCTGGAGATTGAACTCAAGGGATGTGCTTATTCAATGCAGCTGGATCATCGGGGCAGCAGTGGTCAATGCATTCTACTCCCCAAACCGAAACCAGATTGGTATGTCCCCCTGCTCTGTCCCCATTATTCCCTCATCTTATCCCCCGACCCCCAGCCCCTCTCAGCCTATAAGAGACAGAAAGCAAGAGCCCATCACTTCCTTGAGGTCACTTCCGCCCCTCTCTCCCCACCCCCCAGGAGGGCTGGCTCCCTCTCCAAGGAACAAGTGGGAGAGGTTAGAGAGAAAAAACAACAGAATCCTTCCCCTTGAGGGCATCACCAAGTGGGCAGAAGGGTCCTGGATCCAACCCCTTGGCCCCTGAGCCTCAGTTTCCCCAACTTTAAAGTCAGGAGCAGGGGTGGGGGGGTCATCATCTCTAGCTCTCAACATCGACAGATTAAATCAAGGATCCCCAAAGTGCCAGATCCTTGGCCTGGCACACTGGATACCCACTCACAACGATTCTTTGTCCCTTTTGGGACAGTGTTCCCCGCCGGGATCCTCCAGCCCCCCTTCTTCAGCAAGGAGCAGCCACAGGCCTTGAACTTCGGGGGCATCGGCATGGTGATTGGGCACGAAATCACCCACGGCTTTGACGACAATGGTGAGGGGGCTTCGGGGAGTCAGGGACAGAGCTGCACCCTTGAGTCTTATGCATACACCAAGAGGCACCTTGGGGGATCAGCCAGCCAGCCGTAGGTGGTCAAGAAGCGGATACGGAGGCTCAGGGCATGAGAGGAAATTGCCAGGTGTTCAGGGCCAGTGTGGCAGAACAATTCAGATGCCAGGCCTGGCCCTGTCCCAGCAGTGGGAGGAAGAGATACACATGTAACCAGACTTCATCCTATTAAATGATTCTGCCCCACTCTGGAGCTCTCCTGGTGTCGTTTACAGGGAGTCACGCTGCTAACTCAAAGTAGAGCCCCTCCGGTAGTTCAAATCTGCCAAGAGCTTTTCAGGCAGAAGATGGACAATCTGCACCTGGGTGACTTACAGCCTTTGAAAACCCACTGGAGGGTCAGCTGTAGCCTGTGACACAGGGAACAGTGACACGGGCCGCTATGCGTGCGGCCCTCATGGCTTGATGTCATTTCCCAAACAGCACCCTCCAGTCGAGGCACGTATTGAACCAAGCACGCCCACCAGGCTCTAGTGGCCGCGCTCACCCATGGGCCCAGCTGCCTCTCAGGGACGCTGGCTTCCCCATGCGGCTCTGCAGGGGGGCTTCTGGCCTGACCAGCTTTTGTTCCCAAGAGCCACACGCTCCCCTGCCTTGGGCTTTGAGACTTTGGACATCACAGGAAGGGTGCACACTGCCTCCAGGACCCTAGGACTTGGGGCCCTCGGTCTCATTCTCAGGGGATGGCATGGGTGGTGACAGCAGCCTTCCATCTCTGGGGACTAAGCAAACAGCTCCAGGACAAACAGTATTCCCCTTTAGGGAGTCTCTGAAACACAAGCTCTAGATGCCAGGGTTGGCAGGAAGGAGGGTACCTGGAGAGGGCCAGCTTCTACCCTTGCCTGCTGGAGTGGGCTGGGCATAGTTTAAACACTGAGCTCAAGGGAACTACCTCTGACCTGCTAGGCCGGAATTTTGACAAAGATGGCAACATGCTGGATTGGTGGAGCAACTTCTCGGCTCAGCACTTCAGAAAACAGTCAGAATGCATGATCTACCAATACAACAACTACAGCTGGAACCTCGCAGATAATCAGAACGTAAGCATGCTGCTGGCACAGCCCAGGGGTCTGATCCCCAACCCTGGCCACCCTGAGGTCCACACCCTACCTTTGATCACCCTAGCCCATCCCCAGCCCTGGCCACCCTAGGAGTTTACATCTCAGCCTTGCCTGCCTCAGGATTCACATCTCCAGCTTTGGTCACCCCTGGGCGAGGGGGGAGGGGGGGGCGGGGGTCACATCCTAGTCCTGGTTGCATGGGAAATAGGGCAGAGGACCCCAGATTTGTGCAGAGGACCCCAGATTTGTGCCTTCACCTTCCTCCTGTGTATATAGGTGAATGGGTTCAGCACGCTTGGGGAAAACATTGCTGACAATGGAGGGGTACGGCAGGCATATAAGGTGGGTGAGACAGGTGTTCCCTCAGGGAGAGTGGAAGGGAGCAGCCAGGCTCAACCAGGACGAGAAGCCATTAACTTGTTAGGACCTGGCCCCAGCCAAGCCAGAGTGTATTCCGGGAACATCTCCCATCTAAGCCCCGAGGAAGTGTCCCAGGTGGTGGATGGGCAGGACAAGGGCATCTCCACTGGAATTTTACCCATGCACCCAAGCCTCAGTGACAGGCTACCCCTGGATCCCAGGAGCTCAGTCTAGGGGCTATCACGGTGGGCTGCCTGGTGACGGCCCATATGGCTCCAAGCAGTACACAGAGCTCTCTTAACAGTCCCAAAGCTTTGAGGATGTGAGCATCAGGCCTCCAGGTCCTAGATGAGAATTAAGCAGCAGAAGCAGGATCCATTTGAGAGGGCAGTAGGAGGGCGGAGTGTAAGTCTGTCTGGGAAGCAAGGCAGGCCCAGCCCTCTCAGAGCCATGCCCAGTGCCCACCTGATGCCCACAGGCTTACCTGAAGTGGCTGATGGACGGCGGTAAAGATTTTCAGCTGCCAGGCTTGGAAATGACCCACACACAGCTTTTCTTTATCAACTATGCCCAGGTAGGTGCCCCACCTGGCCTCCAGTCCTGGAAGGTGCTTCATCTCACCACCAGCACCCCCCTCCCCAGGCTGGCTGGCAACTATTTCGTGCCCACGGCTTTGGGGCTGCCTACTGTGGGGACAGGGACGTGGCACTGGGTGCTCTGGGGAGTTGGGCAGGGCAGGGCCAGGCCTAGGATGCTTTCTGGAGTGAAGTGGTTACGCTTGCAGACCTGAGGAGGAGTCAGGGAGATGTGGAGGTGAGAGAAACCCGCCATTCCCCTCTCCTCTTCCTAGCCCAGTCAGGCAGATTCACTCGTGCCTAGTTGTTGTTGTTGTTAAGTGTTGTTGAGTGCAACCGACAAGAACCTGGTGAACAACAGGCCTGAACTCTGTCCTAGCCTGTGTCCTCATCTCTGACACACTGGAGCCCATTGCTGCAGTCACGGTGTCAGTCCCTCTCACTGAGGGTCTTCCTCTCCTGTGCTGACCCTCCATCTTTCTGAGCATTACGCCCCTGTCCAAGGTCTTCTAGCAACCTGCCTAAAGTATGTAAGAGGAGGTTCCATCATCTTTGCCTCCAAGGAGCATTCTGGTTGTACTTTCTCTAAGACATATGTATTTGTTCATTTTGGCAGTCCCTGGGGGGATATTCAGTACTTTTCCCCAACTAGAAACTTCTCCTGCCATTCCCCTGACACCCCCAACAACTGCCCCTTCCTCTCGCTAGCCACACCTTTCTCACCACAGCTACGCCCCCGGTGTGTCCACAGGTGTGGTGTGGGTCCTACCGACCTGAATTTGCCATCCAGTCCATCAAGACAGATGTCCACAGTCCCCTGAAGTACAGGTAAGCACCCAGGGCCAGCCCCACATCCACCCCGTTTCCCCTTACTCTGGTGCCCGTCTCAGGCCTTCTGTCCCCCGTCAGGGTGCTGGGCTCACTGCAGAACCTGGGCGCCTTCGCGGAGGCATTCAGCTGTGCGGAGGGCACTCCAATGCACCCGAAGGAGCAATGTCGCATCTGGTAGCTAAGTCCGAGCCTCTGTGCACGGCCCATGCCCACCTGCCGCCAGGAGGTCCCTCGAGGAGATGCGAGCCAGCAAGGACCCAGCCCGGACCCGAGCGCCCGGCCGGGCAGCCGACCCTCTGTGCATGGCCTGCACATGGCCCGAGCACAGCGTTGCCCTGACACCTACCGGCCTGGTACGCAGAGCCCAGCGTCCGGTGCCCTGCTGGCCCCCTCCACCCTGCGCTCACCACGGGCCATGCCGCTCAGTGCCGACAGCGAATCTCCACCACCTGCTCGCCAAAGCGCATCGTTTCCGGAGCTTCAGATGTGAACTGAGTAAATGCTTTCAGAGAAACAAGCTTGCCCCATTTTTCTAGGACGGGCTGGGGAACCCTCTTCTCCGGCTGGTTGTCCCAGGATGGAGGTGCCTGCCAACATTAGACCACTTCTCCCGATTCTGGCATTTCTGGTGGCTCAACCATTGTCCACTGCAGGACATGGACAGAACAAAGTGCGCCCACTGGGAAGGAAGGGGCTCTGGCCGGGGCTCAGATAGTGTCCCCATCACTGTTATCCTGGGGACACAGCAGTGAACAGATATACCCATGCCATGGGCCACGCAGCCAGACTTAGGGGCAAGAATAGATTCTTCTGCTGGCCAGCGCTTTCACTAAAGTCCCTGATTGTCCACTGAGCCCAAGAGATTGAGTCAAAACCAATTCTTTAAAAAAAAAACACAACAACAACCAGGCACACTGGCCCCAAGGGAGTCTCACAAGACAGGAACACGAACACTGACCCCTCAAGGCTGGATGTGGTTGGCTCTCAAGGGAGTCTCCTGACTCCAGCCCCTCCTCATTAGACAAGCCTGACCCCACCATCCTCCCCAAACATCACGCGGTCATGACAGGGCAGTAAAATCACAATCCCCATGGACGCCACATGCCAAAGGCCTCAGGTCACCAGACAATGGAGGCACACATTCCTCTCAAGGACAGCAACGTCCACAGCAGGGAGGTGGCACGTCAAGACCTGTGATGGCCGAAGCAGACCCAGAGGAAATCACTGGGTGGGGGGCAGAAGCTGAGAAAGTAGGAGACGGGAAAGAAACAGGGGCACAAGACTCAGAGCCACTGAAGAAGGATTCTGGACAGAGATCACAGCTTTAATATCCCTCAGTGCTCATGGGCCTGGTGAGATTCAGCGTTCCGACTAGCTCAGTGATTCCAGAACAATCCTTCACATCCAGCTCCCAGCATTCCCAGGTCGTTAAAGCCCAGCGCCTTCACCTCCCACACACGTCTTCATTGCACTGTGGGGACAGCAGAGGCCCATCAGGTCAACCACGTTCCAGGGGGAAAGAGCAGCTGATTCCGTCCACCCAGTGGGGCCATCTCAGACACACCTCAGGACTCCCCACTAAAGAAAACAGGCTTCTCTCTGCAGCCCACCACCCATTAGAGAAGGGCCTCTATGTCTGTCCATTCTGTCCCCACCACATCCCCCCCTCACCAGCTCTCCCTCCACAGGACACTGTGCTGTAACAGTGGCAATATCTATACCTGAGCTGCTGAGAGCCCAGAGCAAGAGAAAGCCCCAAAAGAAAGCCTTCAAAGCCCCAGCCTAGTACCTGGCCTATATGATCCCACCCACAGGGGACAGACTCAGAAGGGAGGTTACCAACCAACACCACGCCCCACTCCCAAGATCCAGCTCACCTTGGGCGGCTCACTGGCACAGCCCTGTGCAGAGATGCCCAAGGCCCTGAGGACATCCTCCTGGGGGACATAGTCCCCTGGAGACTTCTGGGCAAAATGCAGCAGCACCTTCTCACCACCTGAGGGCAGCAGGGAGGCAGGGGGCCTGGAGGGTCTCATCTGGCCAGGTATTTGGTGGGGGGAGAAGAGGGAAGGTGGGCCAGCCTGCTTGTGGATGGACCCTCAGGCACCAACCTCAGCCCCAAGTTCAACTTCAGTGGCCAGCCCCACAGCACTCCCAGCCTGTCACTGAGTCTCCTGAGTTGTTCGGGCCACCGCCCCATCAATATCAGCTAACACTTGAGTAGGGCCTCAGGTCAGAGACGACACCAGGAGAAGGGGCATGGACAAGACCGAGAAACCAGTGGAAAGAGGTTCAGGGTCCGACCTCCAAGCCCTGCAAGAGCATCCCAGCTGAGCTAGTGGCTCTGAAGAACCTGGGTCCTGGGCCCTGGCATTTCGCCATCCCCTACCCACCTTTGCTGACCACCAGCAGCCCTCCGCTCTGCAGCAGGTCCCCAGAAAGGTTCCCCTGGATGTTGACAGCCTTGGCCTGAGGAGAAGGGTGCAGGGCTCATGTCAGCCTTTAATGGGAAGAAAAGGTGGAAGACGGAGAAAACCACCCCAGTCACCCCAAGGCCATCACTCTGGCTGTCACTGACCTTGGCAGCCACATCTCGCACTGGCTTCCCCAGAGCAGCAGGCAGGATGCTCAGACTGTTGTACCTGTGAAGACAACAGCTTGCTGGGCCATGTTATTTGGGGAAGACTAAGCACAACACAGCACCACCCCACCCCATCAGATCCAGCCCTCTTATCCACATCTCCAAAGGCTCCTGGAGGCCTGAGCCTGGGAAACGTGACCAGGCCAGCACTCAGAATGACCTCCTATCCAGCCTGGAGTGGCTGCATGAGTCCAGGGCACCAGCCAGCAAAGGATGCAAGAATGGGGGAGCTGGACTTTGGGCTAGGTAGCCCAGAGTCTGGCTCAGTGGCCAGTGCTCATCAGAAGAGGCAGCGTGGTCTCAGGGCTCCCACCCTCCCTGAAGACCCAGAGGTAGAATGGCCTGGACCAGACACACAGACTAAGACTTCCTGAAGTTGGAGGGTGTTGGTCATCCCAGGTGAGAAACTTACTTGAAAGAACCTACAAAAAGATACCTCATCCCCTATAAGAGAACTCAGCTTCTAGAATGGCCAGCCAGAAGAGATAGTCCCACCAGACCCAAGTTGACTGGGAGCTCTGAGTGAACAACAAAGAGGGGGATGTGGACAAAAGGGATGAGACTTCACCACCAGCCCAGGGAGGTCCCTACACCTCCACACACGTACACAACACATAGTATATACTCACCGCCTGAAGCCCAGCTCCTTGTAGAACTGCTTGCTCTCATCCAGGTAGAGCTCTGAAAAGTTAAGGCCACAGACATGGGACTCAGTCCCTGTCCTGCCCCACCTGCCACCCAGACTCTTCTACTTATCCTCTGTTCACCCTCACTGCCAACCTGAGCCACCACAAAGCGGGGAGAAAGGTCCCTCTACTCAGAGGAGGGGCTGGGACCCAGAGGTGGCAAGTGGAAAGAGCAGGATTCACCCCAATGCTGACATGACACTGGACAAGGGGCTCTTCAAGGGGGAAGGGGGAAAGGGAAAACAAGGGCAGCCATGATGGGCTTGTATTCTGGCTACTCCCACCCAAAGTGGGGGGGGCATCTGGGGTTACTCAGGGCATGGGGTCTCATCTACAACGAGAGGTAGCCAGGTGGTTAGAAGCCTCCAAGTGACCCAGCTCTCTAAGGTAAAGACTTGGGTCCTGGTTCTGGGCTCAGTCACAGACTACTTGTCCTGTGTTGTATACCTCCATAATCAGAGCTGGGACATGGGGGGGCGGTGAGAGGAGGTTAATGCAGGTATGAGAAGGTCAAGGACACCTCTTCCTGAGGCTGAGAAGGGGCAAGGCTGGCCAGAGCGGCAATCGAGAGCCTTGCATTTGAGGAAGGATCTCAGAACCATAAACAACCCACCCCAGGACAGTGTTGCAGGGATAGAGAGACTCAGTAGCTAACTGCCTCCAGTGTCCAGAAGCTCCAAGAGAGGCGGGTCTTAGCGCAGCTGGGAGGGGCGGCAGGTGTAAATAAAGTGAGGGGATTCACCTCCGGCAAAGTAGCCGCCGTCCAGGAACTCCTGCAGGCCCAGGGCCTCGGGGCCCACGCCCACCAGCCTCACGCCATGCTGGTCCAGGAGCCCCTTGAGGCTGCTGAGGTCCTTGGCAATCCAGCGGCACACCATGCAGCCGAAGCGCCGCAGCCCGGCCACCACGCACGCCTGCTCCTGCCATAGGCTCCGCAGCTCCACGGCCTGGGGCGGCAGCGAGTTAAAACAGGCACAATCCCGCCACCATCTTTCACCTAGCACACCCTGCGCTCTGCGCGCCTGGGCCCTCCCAGGCTGGCATTCATGGGCCTCCCCGGGATGGACAGCCCCTCTAGCCTTGTCAACCCCACAGTCCAGATGGTGGGGCGGGGAGCAAAGCCTCTACTCGGCTCACCTCTCCGGTCACCGCGTTTTTCAACACGCACGCGCCCACCCGGGCCAGATCCAGCGCGCTCATGGCGACCGCCTTCTGACTGTGCCCAGTTGCTGGATCACGCCAGACTACGTTCTACTCCTCGCTCCAAATCCTGCCCCGTGACTGCCCGTGGGCCTGCAGGGCCCTTGGCGGGCGGCTCTGGTTGTCTCCCAGCTCCGCCCCGGGTTCTCCAGCCCCACGCTATCTGACCCCGCCCAGACCAACGCACACTCCGCCCCCGGACCCGCGCGAACCCAGCCCCTTCCCCAACTCCACCGCCTCGCCTTTGTCCACGCCCAGGCTTTACCCAAGACTTTACCACTGTCTCGGATAACCCAGCCCTTTGCTCGCCCCATGACGTGTTCCCTAAACTGGATTCCCCTTCTGGGCCCCTGACCACCTGGCTTCAGGTCCAGCCTCTGGAGCCCTTTCCCCGCCTCCGCTGGCTACAGCCCCGCCCTCCATCTCCCGCCCGCCCTCAGCTTCACGACTGGTCACGCCCCATCACCCAGCCCCACCCACTCACTACACAGGCCCCGTCCCCAGGCCGCTTTTCCAGTTTCAGGCTCCACCCCGCCACTTGGGTTCTCCACAAAATGCCTAGTTTTTTATTAAGTGTGTAGTTAATGAAAACCAAATAATCCACAGGTCTCCATAGCGACTCTGCAGGACTAAAATGAGCATCCTGCCCCGTTAAGATTTACAGCCTCGGAAAATCAATGGAAGGTTGAATAAATTAGGGGTTTTGTTTGCCGCAGGGTTCGCTTTATTTGCATATTCATAATGCCACAACCAATGGGCTTGTCACACCAGCCGTAGGTGGAGCTCGGCGGGAGCCTTAAAATCTCAGTGCGCCTGCGCGGAGGCTGAAATTTTAGCAAAACTGCCTCAAGATGGTGCTTTTGCAATTTTAATTCACAACTACTCTCCATCGGATTTCCAAGGCAATGAAAAGGCTGTAAGATTCAGTTCTAAATTGACCGCACAAAAAAAAGCCCAGATCTTGAAGACTGCCCATTATTTCTTCAAAACTGCTAGCAGATTCGAACCTCCTGAGATTTCTCGTTCTTTTAGTTAGCACAACACGCCACTGGAGATTGAGAAGGTGAGCTGAATAGGGTCTACAAGAGGGACCTGACGGAGAGCCTAAGGGAGCGGGGACGGGAGGCCTCAAAGAGACGGGCAACAGGAGCTTGATGGCTCAGGATCTGGCGGGAGTTGGAGGTGAGCTCAGGGTCGCTGTCCCAGTTATCAAAAAAGGCACAAGGAGCAGTGCCCAGCTTGCCCTCGTGGTCTCCTTCCAGTTTGCAATTTACACATGTTGCCTTTAAGCAAATCTGTTCATTTTATACCAGTGAGATAGTTGCTTTAAACTCCCATTTGGGTGGGTGTAAAATGGGCCCAAAGGCACTAACAGTAATCCTTATCAACATGAGTTGTTAATTCCACTGGATCCTCGTGATACCTTCTAGTGTCCCCAGAAATTTACGGGTGAGGGAGCAAAATCACAGTTAAGAAACTCCCAGTTTCTCACAGGTGAAGAGTTGATGGCTACATACCTCAAGGCAAAGCCCCCCAAAAGTGGTGATGACTCTGTACCCTGGAGAAGAGCCTTCAGCCAGCGCTAGTGCCCTGAGCTGACCTGCCCTGGTTTGCAGAAAGTTATAAGGGCGCTGCCTCCCTCCTCACCCAAAATAATAACAAGGAAGATGACAAATACTGCTGCTCCCTAAGGTTGGCCGCTTGGCCCCATTGGATCCCTGAGCAGTCATGCCTGGGGATCACAGGGTCTAGTTCTCTTATACCCCTACCCCATGCCAGCAGCCATGTGACAGGAAAGGACCCTGGACTCAGAAAAACCTGATCAGCAGCCTCTGTACATCCAAGAAAGGGGAGGGGGGGAACAAGAATAAGAGTTTCATATGGAATAAGCACTATGACATAACATGAATTAATATAAAATATTGTTGTGTACTGCAGAGTCAGAAGAAACCATAGTTGACCCTCAGGTGGGTTTTGCCCATCCTTCTCCCACAGAGCAGCTGGGGGACTTGAACCACGTGCCTTCAGGATTGCAGTGTCTTGCCCCTAGGCCACCAGAGCTCCTTTGTATCATTGAGTCAGAACTGACCCATAGTTGACCCTCTGGTGGGTTTTCAGAGGCAGTTAATCCCATGGGAGGAAATTGTGCATCTTTTTCTCACAGAGCACCTGGTGGACTCAAACCATGTGCCTTTGGGATTGCAGCGCAGCTTCTTGCCATTAGGCACCAGAGTTCCTTAATATGTAACAGATTTTTTTTTTTAACTGTGCAGTTAGCTTTAAGTGGAAACTCCTTACCCACTAGGCCACCAGAGATTCCTACCATGGGCCTCTTCCTGCTGTGCCAAAGCTGAGCAGATGGTGGAAGGTCCTGCTGCACCAGGCTTGCTGGCCTCTCCCCAGCACTCCAGGCCCACAGAGACACAACACACTCCCTCTCTTTCTCAGCTGCCACCACAGTTCACGTCTGGGGCCTGGGATAAACTTAGTACCATCTAGGTGCTTCAGAGACACAGTGACTCTATAGGACAGAACTTCCTCACAGAGGTCCCAAAGCTGAGCTCTTTGCAAGTAGACTGCCTCATCTTTCTCCTTCTGAGGGGTAAGTTTGAACTGCTGATCTTTTGGTTAGTAGCCGAGTGCTTGACCACTGAGGTGTGATGAGAGAGCCCTGGGTAATAAAGGTGACAGCAAGTTCTGGGAAAAGGGAGGGCCTGGAGTGAGGCAGGGGCATGGGTCAAGATGGAGGATGGGCTCATCCTGCCAAGAAGAGAGGCCCCAATCTGACTGAGTTGCACTAAGAGGTTTGAATAAAGTCTGTTGGTCTCTGTTCCTTCTTGAGCAGAGTGGGGACTGGATGACATGGCCTCTGTGGATGCATGGCCTAGGAGTGGTGGATTGAAGTCCTGAGGGCACCATCCCCCAACCCAGAGGAGCATCCCTGAGAGTTGGGAGCTCATTGGGATGTGGACAAAAAGCAGTGGGGGCCCGGGCACTCCCAGCCTTGCCCTGGGCCACAGTCATGTTCTCTGAGGCAACTGTCTGCTGTTTCTCCACAGGGCCCTTCAAGGGAAATCTCCCCCCTTTCACAGGCATCTTCCCTGCTGCCTTGGTGGTAGTGTATGAGGTACTAGAATAGCAGGGACAGCAACAAGTCCTAGGACTGGGCTGCAAAGTGTCCTAAGCACACAGAGCACTCTAGGTTTGAAGAGACAGCCTTCCAACAGGCTCTGGAATGACTGAGCAGGGTCTTGGAGCCTGGGACACAGTAGGGATAGCCCTCACCTCATCTGGGTTCCAAGAGGCCCAGAGCCACACCTGAACCACCATCCCACCACTTGACCTGCTGATGCTGGGCTGTCAGTAGAGTGAGACCAGGGCCTCCCTCAGAGCTCACAAGCGTAGAGTGGGAAATAGCCTGCTCATGAGACATGAAAGATCAGGCCCAGGGAGTGAGAGAGACAGAGAGAAAAGAAACAGAAAGGACCCTTCTCAGGGAGCACAGCCGTGCTTGTCTCTACAAACAGGGCTGCTGGTGGAGAGCAGGTTCCCCTCCGACCTTGGGACTCCCGCCGTCACTGTGCCAACCCCAGAAGGAACACTAAAGAATAGGATTCGGCTAGATGAGAATGGTTGGAGGAGCCGGGTTCACCAGGATGGTTGAGAAGTGAAAGTAGAGGGGGTCAGTAGAGACGGACCATTGTAAGGCCCTGTGACTCAGCAGCCGCGCAGTATCCTGCTGGGGCATGGGCTCCTAGGGAGGACCTGAATTCAGCCCCATGAAGGCTCCCAGTCCTGCCTCAGTCCTTCCCAGCACCTAGGTTGTTCTTATTATATACCCTCAAGTTGAAGCTGATCACACAGGAAGAGGTTGCCTGTCTTTCCCCATGGAGCACCTGGTGGATTCAAACCTTTGAAGCCTTTGAATTGATAACACAAGTCCTTACCGCTGATCCACCAGAGCTCCCTTAAAAGCCTGCAGCACCCAGTATTTCCAGGCAATCACTCATCCAAGTACTAACCAAGTCCAACCTTGCATATCTTCTAAGATCGGAAGAGATCAGGCATGTTCAGGGTTGGTGTGTCTGGAGACCAGCTCCTAGGAGCAAGCTGCACAGAGGCAGGACATGATCCAGAAGGTACCTGATGTTCAGGCTGCCTTTATAGGTGGATGTTACTAAGTGTTGTCAAGTGGAATACAACTCATAACAATCCTATAAACTGCAGAACTGAACTCTGTCTTGTTCTATGCCATCTCACAATTTCTGACATACTCAAGCCTATTGCTGTAGTCACTGTGTCAATCCACCTGATTGAGAGAAGGAAAAACAGAAGCTTTAGCAGAGGGCTGATTCCCACTGAGGATGGTAAGACACCTCAGGGGCGTGTGCTTCACGATCTAGTACCATCTGAGGACGAGAATTGATGGTATTGATGAGAGAGGTACAAAGCTGAATAACTGAGGAAGCCTGAGAAGGGATGGATCAGGATAAAGTAATTCTGGAGATCGAAAGCCGTAGGAATTGGTATTAGAATAAGGAGAGGTGAGTAAGCAAACCAGAGGGGCAGACAAGGCCTAGAGACCACCAATCAGAGTCCTAATTCTTCCTGATCACTTCTCAGCCCCTAGAAAACCCTGGAAAAAAGACATCATGCTAGGAAAGATGTGTAGGGAAATAGAGGAGTGGGATTATTTCCCCAGTCTCTCTCTCGGTGGGGAACAGGAGTGTACTGGGAACTAATGGGTGTTCATCTGCACTCTGATGCCCCTTGGTTCCCTGATCTCACCCACCCCAAAGCAGGTGGTAGAACCTGCTACCTGGGTACCTAGGTAGAGGAGCCACATCTGTCTAGCATTGAGATATTCTACCTTTGGCTTGTCCTGGGGAGCATGGCCACCCAGGGACCTTGGCAATGAGCACTGAGGACAATGCACAGCCCCTAGCCCAACACAGGGAGATCTCCACCTTATTCTTTCCACAGCACATCAGGCAGGGCTC